TTTAGGGTTTAGGGTTTAGGATGCCCCTCAGTAACAGTGCTAATGGGGCTTCTATTAAGGGCCTATATATATATATATACCTGGGTGATCCTTTCGCCTAAAAGAATAGCCGCTTTGGGGAAATGGCGCCTTTTTCGGGTTGAGGCGTAAATCTTGAATCAAGAGGGATTTGTGGCAATTCTTCCTTGGTTGCGGCTGATTTGGTGTTTAGCTTTTGGCGAGGCTGATTTCGGAACTCTTCTTGTCATTCGGGTGCCATATTTGGCCTGTTCGGCTCAATTATCGTGCAAAGCCGCCGTGCCGTTTCGAAGTACGACCCCACCCGTGCAATTGTGTTGCTGCTCTTGCAACTGTGATGCTTGCTGGTGCTCAGTTGGGATGACTATGCCATGCAGCTTCGGCCCGAGATAGCATTGTCGCTGCACCTACTACTAGTAGTTTTCATGGCTCGTCGGTTGGATCCTGCCAGCTTTGCTAAGCTTGAACAAGCAGGCAGGCCAGCAAATCCAAAAGGTCTGTATGAAACTGATAGATTTCATTTTGGGACAGGTCTCCACCAGATGCCACTCGAGTGGTACCATGAAGTGCAGAAGGCCTTGTGGCCTGGAGAGGCTGTGGAAGAAGCTTTGCACATTTGGAGGTCTAGGTTCAAGCGACTTAGAAACTGAACCCAGCCCACCTAAGGATCTACCGACGCCTACAAAGCTGCAGGCCATCGTGGAAAATTTTGAAGCGGGCGGTTATGTTCGTGAGCTGGCACGAGTTTATTGGGCAGCCGAGAAACGACCCTTGGTCGCCTTTTGGTTGGATAGAGACTGTTTATCGGGGCAAGATGACAATCAGAATATCAGCCATGAAGGTGTGTGCTCGCCACCGATGTCACCGGAAAAATCGTCGAAGTCAGAGGGGGCTGGAGAGGGCGGAGAGCCCGGAAAGTAGATGCCCTTGAATCGGGGCCCGTGGCGAGAGAGAAAATTCGATTCGTTTGGGATTGCACGCCTCACCGGCAGCCTTTCCATCAAACTCGTTGCCCCTTCACCCTTTCGCAGGCTGTCTTCATCCGAGTGGGTGGAGGCCAGACCTGTGGTCAATTGTTTGGTTTAGAGCTTGGCTGGGTGGGTGCTTGTTCGCTTGAGGCCATGGTGTTCCTCGTGGAGAACCTGGGGATGGATATGGTTCATCCTGGAGGCCTCAATAGTTTCGCCGCCCGGGTATTATGGAGATTTCAGGGTTTGGTCTGTGTGTCAGGCTGTGGCTCCGGTCGTCTTCCGGGCGACTTGCGAAAGAGGCCTGGGTCTGTCGAGGATGGTCGCTGGTTGTCAGTTCCATAGATTGTAGGAACTGATACTCCCTTTCGTACAGAGGTCTCTTTGGAGTTTGTTCTTCATCATCTTCCTTAGGGTGCATGCCCCAGCTACGAATTCTTGTTGTTAAAGAAAGAAACAAGCAGCACTCCCTCGCCGAGGTGCCGGGCAGTCGATGAGTGCCCCTTTGCCCTGCACGTTTCGTTTGTGTGCAGCTCTTTCTGTGAAGCCTGCATTTGGGATTTGCTTGCTACAGTCTGTGCGGTAGCAATGATTTGGGCTCTTAGGGTTGAAGCAAAACGGTTGGTATTTCACAAATCATATAAGCTTGTTTGTCATGCCCGAAGCAGCCATGGTTGTGGCTGCCGAAGCCGAAGTTCAGGGGGCAAAGAATGAGGTGGTCGTTGATTTGTCCGGGCTGGCTTCAGCATGGGAAAACGATAAGAAGCTCAGGCGGCTGGCTCTTCAAAGCAAAAGCCTCCTTACATGGATCTGCCCGAAAAGTGTCGGGGTGGTGACGATGAAAACCTTGAAGCTCAATACGGCTGTGCTCTTGCATCTGCTACGAGTGTATCTTCCCCAAGCTCCAGTCAACAAGACATGTCCAGTGGAATACATCTATCCGGAGGTGACTTGTTTCAAGTATGCTTGGGATCTCTAGGCTTCGGTTACCGGTCCAACTATCTTTTTCGTGCTGCCCCGGTCCAGACCGTTTCTGCCAGGTGAAACAGCTTCGAGAAAACATCGGCCTCCCCGACGATATGGGGCTGATCCATTGTGAAGCTACGGCACTTAAGAGCTTGCTGAGCTTGGTCAACAGGCGAAATTGTGGTGGCATTCGTCGGGTTTCTCGGTCGTAGCAACAAATAATAGTGTCCAACTCTATCTAGATAGTGTGTTAGATCTTTTCGAACCCAAGCTTTAAGCCCTAAGCCTAAACCCCAAGATCCAGGCTGGTGGCACACATCTAAGGACAAGAAATTGCAAGAGCTCTTCGAGTTTGTCATCCTTTACTGGCCCCCTAGGCCCCGTAAGAAGAAGCAGGCTCAGGAGGCTGATGTTGTTGAAGATGACCTTTCAGGGGAAGCAACAGCCCCAGAGGATGATGCTGCCGATGATGAAGATGACGATGAGACGCAAGCCCCACTAGCTGATGCTAGCGATGACAGTTTGATCGATGCAGGAGATGCTGTGCCTCTGTGTGATGGCCTGATGAATGATCAGGAGATTCGGGATGGGCTGGTAAGCTCTATGGGGTTGCACTATGGCAGCCCACCTCCTCCATCCGCTTATTGCAGAGACCCGACTCTTCCAGAGACACCAGTGCCACGGGCCGCCGCATCGCTCCTCAATGGGCTTCCAGATGATCCAGCGGAAAGGCTCGCAGCGATTGAGTGGCTGGGCTTAACTTAGGGCTATCGTTGATGGGCTTGAGAACCCAAACCACCAATTTGAATGCAGACTTTGCTCGTCGTCAAAGGTTTGGTCTAGCCGAGTGTTTCCGGACAACCAAGATTGGATAACCTAGTCTTGCTTTGCTTCCTTTTCCCTACCCTACAGTCTGGGAGTGATTTGCTTCAGGCTAGCACCAGAAGTTGTCGTAGCACAAGCATCAGTCGCCACAAAATAATACGAGGTAAGTAGTCCTAATACATGTAGCAGTGCTATAATACATGGTACATTTGGAGTCAAGGACTTTTCACAACAGGCTCACGCAAGATTCTTAATCGGACTTCCGGTCCCCCGAACCCTGAACCTCACTCCTTAAACCTTAGTACTACCATATACTACTACTACT